GTTGCCTGCTTTGACCTGTTTGAGGGCTCCCTAAAGGACTAACACAAAGGAATTATCTTTATTCCACCTAACTAGGAACTCTCTGAGGGCAGAGAAGTAGCTAAGTGGAGGGCATCTGTCAAAAATATTCTAAAGCAAATGAACAGGCCACTGAAGCCTAGGGCAAAAGATATCAACTGAGGCAAACAACAGGCAAGCCAAAAAACCTGGGAGAAAAAAGCTAGCAAGTGAAATGCTTTGTAGAATAAGGGCTTTGCAATGCTTCCACATGTCATTGGGAAACGAGAAGGCTAAGTTCAAGAGGCAGGCATTTTCAGAAGAGATTTGAGAAGACCCTAAACTCTCACCTGTGATTGATTTTCAAGGTCTACCCAAGGAAATGCAGAGTTGTTAACTGTCTAGCTGAGTGCTGAAAGTATGACTCACACACACAGAGCCCAGCTGCAAAGACTGGGCAATTTTTTTCCCTTCAGGAATTAAAGGAAATGTCTGCCAAAACACTAGATGACCACTATGTTAATGAAACAGACACTTTAGGGACCATACCTGACAAAGAATACAGTCTTTACAAAATAAGTTGTAAAAGTCACTAAACAAACAACTACATCCAACATATAGCAGCATCAAGAAATCCTTCAGAAGAGGAATATCTGACTTATAAGGTAAGTATTCTAGGGAAGGAGAGCAAAACACAGAAACAGTATGGTTGGTTCATAGAGAAAAAAAAAGTTAACAGAAACTGTTCTTGGGGAAGCCAAGACATTGGACTTACTAGAAAACGACTTTATATCAATTGTCTGAAACATGCTAAAGGATCTAAAAGAAAACTATGGACAAAGATCTAAAGGAAATAAGGAAAATGGTGTCTCAACAAATAGAGAATATCAATAAGGAGATAAAAATGATAAAAAATAACCAAACAGAAATTCTGGCAGTGAAAAGTACAACTGAAACAAAAAAATTTATGACAGGGGTTCAACAGCATATTTAAGCATGGAGAAGAAATGAAGTCAGCAAACTTGAAGGTAGGTCAATTGGAATTATTCAGTCTCAGAAGCAGAAAGAAAAAAGAATGAAGAAAAGTAAACAGAACCTAAAAGAAATACCATGAAGTACATCAATATATGCATAATAATAGTCCCAGGAGAAGAAAGTGGCAGAAAGAACATTTGAAGAAATAATGTCTGAAAACTTGCCAAATTTGATAAAAAGACACAAACCTACACATCAAGGATCTCAAAAAATCTAAGTAGTATAAACTCAAGGAGAGCCACTCTAAGACATATTATAATTAAGTTGTGAAAAGCCAAAGACACAGTGAATTTTGAAAGCAGCAAGAAAGGATCATCACTTATAAAGGATCCACTGTAACATTAACAGCTGGTATCTCATCAGAAAGCATGAAGGGAGTGGGATGACATTTTTAAAGAGCCCACTGTCAACCAGGAATTCTATATATAACAAAACTACTGTTCAAAAATAAAAGAAAAAATAGAGATTGTTAAATAAACAAAAGCTAAAGGTCACTAGGACACCTGCCCACAAGAATTGCTAAAGGAAATCAGATTGAAATGAAAGGACATTAGACAGTAACCTGAAACCAAAAGGAAAGAAAGGAAAAGAGACAGGGATGGAGGGGGAGAGGGATACAGAGAGACAGATGGAGGGAGGGGGGGGAATAGAGAGAGAGGCAGAGGGAGAGAGAAAATGAACATAATAAAACTAATTATATAAGCAAATATAAAAAGGCCAGTATTACTATATTTTTGGTTCATAACTTGTTTACTTAATGATTTAAAAGAAAAATGCATGAAACAGTATTTATAATCTACATTAATGGGCACGTGGTGTAAAAAGATGTAATTTATGACAATATAAAGGTAGGGAGGCACCTTTTTAGGCTATTGAAGTTGGAATCAATTCAAACAAGATTGTTAAAAATTTAGGATGTTAGTTATAATCACCATATGAATGTATATATAGTAGCTTTATTCATTACTGCCAAAATGTGGAAGCAACCAAGATTTCTCTCAGTAGGTGAATGAATAAACTGTAGTATATCCAAACAACGGAATATTACTCAGCGCTAAAACAAAACGAGCTACCAAGTCATGAAAAGACATGGAAGAAACTTAACTGAATATTACTAAGTGAAAGAAACCAATCTGAAAAGGCTAAATACTATATGTATCCAACTATATGACATTCTGGAAAAGGCGAAACTATGGCAACAGGAAGATGATTAGTGGTTTCCAGGGGTTGGGAGGTTAGAAAGAGATGAATAGCAGAGGACAGAGGATTTTTTGGGCAGTGCAAATATTCTGTATGATACTACATGGTAATACATGTCATCGTACATTTGTCACAACACACAGAATGTACAATACCCAAGAGTGTGTCCTAATGTAAATTATGAACTTTCAGTGATAATGACTTGTTAATGCAGGTTCATCAATTTTAAAAAATTACCACTCTGGTGCAGAATGTTGATAGTGGAGGAGGCTGTGTGTATGTGGAGACAAAGGGTTTATAAGGACCTTGTACTGTCTGCTCAATTTTGCTGTGAACCTAAAACTGCTCTAAAAAACAAAGTTTATCAATTTAAAAAAATACATAACATACATACATATATATACACATACACACCCCAAGGAAAAAAGGAAACAAGGGAATAAAAAAGTAAACTAGAAAAATGCAATCAAACACAAAAGAAGGTAGTATCAGAATTCAGAAAAGAAAAAATAAAGAGTTGTAAAAAAAAACCCAGCAAAATGACAGATGTCATTTTGTTGTAAAATAAAAAATTTGGCTGGTTTTTGTTCCTGGTTTCTAGGAGGAAGCCTCTAAACCCTTAGAATTTCCCCAGTGATTAGAGTGTCTTTGTTCTTCATGGTGGACCCTTCAGACCACACTGAGTTTAATACTAACAAGGTGACTCATGGTAGGCTCCTAGACAATTTCAGGATGGGGCTGGCCATGCCAAAAAGACTAAACCTTTCATTAGAGGGTTGGAGTTTTAAGCCTCATGATATCTATCAGCAGGACCTCTATGAAGGGTAGAAGGCTGGAGATTGAATTCAATTTGGTCATGTGGCCAATGATTCACTCAATCACACCTATGTAACAAAACCCCAGTAAAAACTCTGCACACTCAAAGTTCAAGTGAACTTCCTGGTTGGTGACAGACTAAATGTGTTGGTAGTATATCCCAAGGGCACACAAATTTCATGTTTGAGACCCTCCCAGGTCTCATCCTATAATTTGTTTTCTTTTGGCTGGTCCTAATTTTTTTCCTTTATAATAAAACTGTAATCATAAGTATTGTGCTTTCCTGAGTTCTATGAATTGTTCTAGCAAATTATTGAGCCTGAGGTAGTAGTAGGAATCCTGGAATTTGTAGCCAGTGGTCAGAAGTGCACATGGTCTAGGAAACTTTAAGCTTGCAGATTGTGTCTGAAGTGAGGGCAGTCTTGTGGGAGATTGTGCCATAAACCTGTGAAATTTAACCTAACTCCTAGTAGTTATAATCAGAATTATACTGCATCTTATCAGTAATTACCTTAAGTGTAAATGGATGAAACTATTCATTTAAAAAGCAGAGACTGACAGAATGAATTAAAAAAACATGATCCAATAATATATATCTAAAATAGACTCATATTAGATCCAAAGACACATAAAAGTAAAAGGACAGGAAAAATATTCAATGCAAATAGTAACCAAAAGGCTTGGCTATAGTAACCAGTGGGCATGGCTATACTAACATCATACAAAATAAACTAAATAAAAAACTGTTACAGGAGACAAATACGGAGATTATATATTGGTAAAAGAATCAATACATTAAGATGAAACAATTATAAACATACATGTACCTAACAACACAGGCCAAAAACTATGAAAGAAAAATTTACATAATTGAAGGAAGAAATAGGGACAGTTCCACAAAAATAGTTGGAGACTTCACTATACCATTTTCAATAATGACTAGAAAAGCTATAATCAAAAAAAAAAAAAAATGTTGGTAAAGACTTAGAGAAACTGGAATTCTCATGCATTGCTCTTAGAAATGTAAAATGATCCAAACGCTGTGGGAAAAGTTTGACAGTTCCTCAAAAATTTAGATATGGTTACTATATGACCTACCAATTATACTCCTAGGTATATACCCCACCCCCCAAATTGAAAACAGATGTTCAAACAAAAATCTGCAAACAGATGTTCATAAGAACACTACTTACAATAGTCAAAAGGTAGAAAGAACCCAATGTTCTAACAAATGGATAAACTAATGTGGTACAGGCTGAACATCCTTTATCTAAAATGCCTGGGTCCAGAAGCATCTCAGATTTCAGATTTATTTGAATTTGGGAATATTTGCATTATACTTACCAGCTGAGCCTCCCTAATCCGAAATCCAAAATGCTCCAGTGAGAATTTCCTTTGAGCATCATGTTGGTGCTCAAAAGTTAAGAATTTTGGAGTATACTAGATTTCAGATTTTTGGATTAGAAATGCTCAATCAGTATATATCCATACAATGGAATATTATTCACCCATAAAAAGAATAAAATACTGATATATACTATAATATAAATAAACCTTGAAAATAGTATGCTAAATAAAAGAAGCCAGACACAAAAGGCCACAATTATATAATTCCATTTATATGAAATATCTAGAATAGACAAATCAACAGAACCAGAAAGCCAATCAGAGGTTCCCAGGAGCTAGGAATACGAGAGAATAGGGAGTGACTTCTTATAGGGTACTGGTTTCCTTTTGGGGTGATGAAAATGCACTGAAACTAGATAGTGATGATGGTCATATAACTGTTTCTGAACTGTATAAAATTTAAATGGTTAAAACAATAAATTTTACATTATGTGTATCTTACCATGATTAAAAAAAAACCTGTGCATTTTTTTCTTTCAATTATTAAACCAGAACCAGATATGGACAAAAATGCAAAAAAACCCCAAGGCATATGTGCTACATACCTGTTAATGCTGCTGGTTTGGATAGTGTACTATATTGGTTTTGTGTAGATATCATACTTTGACGTGGACTTAGTGTTGGTGATGCAACAAGCGAAAGCTCCTCAATAATAATACTGCTTTTGGGATGATTCTTGGGGAGTTCATTTAATCTCTGCTCTAATGAATACTTTAAAAGGTCCAACTTCTGACTTGATTCATTAAATCTTGCTTGCGCCTTGCACAGGGAAAAGACAATTGTTGTCATTTAAATAATCATATACTTTCAATAATGTATTTATTAAACAGATTAAAATATTTATTTAAAATTACTTCTGAAAGTGCTTTTCTGTCTGTTACTTTTCCTGAGCCAAGTAATTTCATTACGTTCTTTGCACCTTCTGCTACTGCAAACTCTATCCTAAAATGATGCCTTAATTCTTCCATCCGAAGTTCAAGAGGACTTATCACAGGTTTTGCTGGAAGAAAAAAAAAATTTAATTTAACATTTTATTTGACTTTCTAATATGTAGTGATTAAAAATCATGAAAAGAAATTAATTCCTATGACATTAAGTTAGTCCTTAAGTCAACAAACACTGAAGTAATAATACATACAATGTTGAAATTCTGAGCCTTCCATTTTAATCATTACACACATCTAAATTACAAATCTGAAAAAAAGATGTTAGAACTAAAGATATCCATATATTATAGTATCATGAGACTGACATAATTTCTAGTCCTGCTTTTAGCAACTATCTGTAAAGCTTTCCTTTGGAATTTCAAAGAACACCAACAAAAACAAAAAACAAAGCCATACTTTTAAACGGGCAACAGGTTTTTAAAAATAAAGTACTGATTAGAAGTATTAGATAGTCAATTAAAATAAAGAGCTACATTCTAGATCATTATTTTCTTGAAGCATGAAAGCCAAATATCTAAAAGCATCCATCCACGTAAAAAGTGTAAACCCAAGATTAAAAAAAATGCTTCCTCCCCCTTAACTTTGAACCACTGTCTCTTTCCTACATAAGATTTGTTTACCAACATATGCCCCTAATGAGAAGAATGACAATTTATCTCTATTCCATCACCGTTATCAAAAGCCAATTCATTGGTCTGGACTGCCTGTAGAATCTGCATTCGTATGACTTCTATTTTGGTCTTGCTGTCCTGAAGTAGTTGCTGAGCTGTACCATGGAGCTTCCGATCCTATTAAAAATAAGTTAGGAAAGATAAGCAGATAAAGGGAAAAATGAAACATTTTCCTATCTTCTAAACAGATCAACTGATATATCAGTAAGTGAAAAACAGAGTTAAAAGAACACTGTGAACACTGCACTATACAATCTTTTAGATAATTTACAAACGCAGCTAACTTACAGGGTGATAACTGAGAAAAACAATTCCATTAGTTAAGACAATTTGAGAGAAAAAAATTAAGTCTTATTAATGTTGTGTTTCTAAAATTTATTTTTATTATATGTATTTGCAGTGTACAACACGATGTTTTAATGCACAAAGATATAGTGAAATGATTACTATAGTCAAACAAATTTACTGGTCTATTACCTTCTAGAGTTACTCTGTGTGTGTGTGTGTGTGTGTGTGTGTGTGTGTGTGTATGTGTGTGTGTGTGTGTAGTGTATTAAGAGCAACTAAAATTAGCAAATTTTCAGTACATTAAGATTACAAACTATAACTCTAGACTTATTCATCCTACTTAACTGCAAATTTGTACCCTTTGACCTACTTCTCCCCGTTTCTTCTCCCTCTCTGCTGCTGGTAACCACTGTTCTGCTGTTTATATTTATTCATCCTTTTTGTTTAGATTTCACATATAAGTGAGATCATATAGCATTTTTCTTTCTGTCTCTGGCTTATCTCACTTAGCATAATGTCCTCTGGGTTCATCCATGTTGTCACAAATGGCAGTATCTCCTTTCTTAAGGCTGAATAATATTTCATTATGTGTGTGTGTATACACATTATCCATTCATCCACCAATGGACACTGTAGGTTGTTTGAATATTACCATTTAAAAGAATATCCACATCCAAATACACATTTGTAATTTTCTTGTCTTTGCTTTACACAAAATTTAAAGAATTTTCCTTCACCATGATCAATAACTCTGATTCAGAAACAATATGATGATTGTGATTGTGATTAAGCCTAAAAATTTTAGGTGATCTCTTCCTATCCCACTATATTTCAGTTAAATTTTCAAGGAGCTTCATATATATAGGCAAATTTTTAAAACAGTTAATCACAGATAGTATTTGTGTTCCATCAAATTCTAAAAGAAGTAGAAAACAGCTTTGTCAACCCTGGTAATAATGAGAAAGGTCCCTAGAAATTCTTGAATGTCAAAAAACAAACAAAAAAAGAGACCTTCTCGATGAAGCTGGGGAGAAAGTACTGAATACTATACTGAATAAACTTTCATCATCTCCTAAGGCTTCAAAGAAAGGTTCTGAATTAAGTGAAATGATATTACTGCCATACCTCTGTTTAGTTCCAGTAACACTGAATGTGAGCGACAGAAGGAACTGTCATAGGCCAAATAAAGGCCCACCTAGAGATGTCTACATCCTAAGCCCCACAATCTTGTTAACATGTTACCTTATATGGCAAAAGGGACTTAAGGTACCAGATGGAAATGAGGTTATTAATCACCTGACCTTAAAATATATCCAGGTAGGCCCAATGTAATTACAAAGTTCCTTAAATGTGAAAGAGGAATTTAAGGAATTTACATTCCTTAAATGTAAAAGAGGTCAGAGTGATATGATGTGAGGAAAACTGGATCCACTGTTGCTGGCTTGGAAGACAAAGGAAGATGGTATAAGCCAAGGAAAGTGGGTAGGCTCTAGAATCTGAAAAGAGTAAGGAAATAGATTCTCTCCTATATCCTCCAAAAGGGAATGCAGTCCTGCCAACACTGTGATTTTAGCTCAGTGAAATCCATTTCAAACAATGTAACTACAAAACCATCACACACTGGCCAGGTGCGGTGGCTCACACCTGTAATCCCAGCACTCTGGGAGGCCGAGGCGGGTGGATTGCTCGAGGTCAGGAGTTTGAACCAGCCTGAGCAAGAGCGAGACCCTGTCTCTACTATAAATAGAAAGAAATTAATTGGCCAACTAATATATATAGAAGAAATTAGCCGAGCATTGTGGCACATGCCTGTAGTCCCAGCTACTTGAGAGGCTGAGGCAGAAGGATTGCTTGAGCCCAGGAGTTTGAGTTTGCTGTGAGCTAGGCTGATGCCATGGCACTCACTCTAGCCTGGGCAACAAAGTGAGACTCTGTCTCAAAAAAAAAAAAAAGTTAGCTGAAATGTATTCGTTGAATACAAACTCAGTTTAATATACTATGGAGGAAAAATAACTAGCAAATTTATGAATTTTTCTTCCATGTTCCCAAATTTAGTCATTTAAGAAAGAGCTTCTAGCCATATTTTATTCTTTAATAAAGTATTTAGATTTAACATCAAAGAGTCAGGCTCAAAGAGTTAACTAAGTCTCTTAGACATCAATTTACACCATAGACACACATATATATATACACTTGTTAATTATTATGAATAAGGATATTAACTTAAATTTGGTGTTTGTCTATGATATATTATAGATGCTTTTATGAATACGCCACCTTCCAAATTTAAAATGAAAATACTTTTCTCTTACTGTAAATTCCTCCACCTATCCAGTATTAGGAACATCAAACTAAACATTTGAAATAACTATAGTCATGCTCTGCATAATGACATTTAGGACAACAATGGACTGCATATATGACAGCGGTCCCTAAGATTATAATACTGTATTTTTACTGTACTTTTTCTATGTTTAGATACACAAATACTTACCACTGAGTTACAATTGCCTGCGGTATTCAGTACAATAACATGCTGTACAGGTTTGTAGCTTAAGAGCAATAAGCTATGCCATATAGCCTAGGTGTACAGCAGGCTATCATGTAGGTTTACATAAATACACTCTATGATATTCGCGCAATGACAAAATCACATTTCTCAGAATGTATCCTTGTTGTTAAGTGATGTACGACTGTATCTCTGAGATCAGACCACAGTAAGAGAAAAACTTAGTCATTATTTAATGGGACAAATATATTTTACAATCAGATAGACTTGGGCCCAGATCTTATATATGCATGTAAACTAAGGCAAGTTAACATATTTTGAAAGCCTCGGGTTCTTGCAGAAACTATTAAAGGGGATACCATCCTCTAAAAGAAAGCTTGGTAAGCATTAGATTAAAACTAAAATTATATTAACTAGCACATGATTGGCATTAAAATGGTCTCTTTTAGAGCAATAAAAAAATGATTAAATATTTTATTTCAATGAAGTTCTAATGTAAAAGTAAAAATATTAAGTAAATTATAAATATGATGCTACTGCTTTCAATTAAGCTACTGCTTTATTATTTTATTCTATGCAAAATGACAGTTTTATCATTTACTTCTTTGGAAATACTCCTTTCTCAACTATTTCAATTCTTTTTTTTTTTTTCCTAGTAAACAAGAAACTAGAGACTATTTCAATTCAACATGCAAGCAATATGCACTTGTATTTCATTTTAAAAGTAAGTGAATTTTCCCACACAGATTTCTGAAGGATCTGCACAGATGTCAAAGTGTGGTGGAAGCTTTAAAAACTGATGTTGGATATTATCTGTCACAGGCAATACATAGTTATTACATATCAGTTTTATGCTTTCTAGCATTTAATGAATGAATTTTTATTGTCAGTTTTATGCTTTGAAGTATTCAATAGATTTTTTATTGAGCACCTAATATGTATAAGAGAAGAGATAAGGTGGGTCTAGAGTATATAAATTAGTTAGATATTAGGGAAATACTGACTTTTATGTTGATAAAGACTTTATGAAGATTTTTACATATATTAGGTTGAACCACATGGAAGTGCCAATATCTGACTGATTTTGAACTAAAAAAAATAGCAGTTTCATATAGTTCAACCTAATAGACTAGTTAAAGTAATCAACTATTAGTAATTATCACTATACAAATTTGATAATTATAAGTATAATGTTTTTTATTTTATAAAAAATAACCTTTTGTTTTACAAGCTGTAGTAGGATATTATAACACAAACTACTTCACACACACAACTTTCAGAAATAAATAAGCCAATCATTGCTTTACTTTCTCATCACATATTTATGGCTTACTTGCCATATATTAAATGTTGTCAGATCCAGTGACCATATACAAAGATTAATCAATCAGGATGTTACCCCATGAAGCTTATAGTTTGATAAAAGAGATACAGATGATTATTATATGCATCAGAAAGTTAAAAATAGCCAAAGAAAATTTTAAAGAAAGGTAGGATCAATTTTAGCTAAAAAAAATCCAGGAAGGTTTTCTGGGTCAATAATTAATACATATAAGTTTGGAATATATTAAGACTAGAGAATCTCTCATGTTAAGTGTTCTTATAACAACAAAAGTCCCCAAACAAACAAACAAATAAACAAAAAACACCCACAAAGGAACACAAGGAAATTTTGGGAAGTATCTTGACTATGGTGATGATATCTTATGCATACACATATATATATGCCCAGATTCATCAAAATGTATATGCTAAAAATGTGCAATTTTTTTCTATTTCTTTATTGAACCAGATATCGATAAAGCTTAAACAAACAAAAAAGACTAGAGTATTGAGGTTGAAGGGGCCTGGATGGATAGCTTGGTATTTCTGAATGAGAAACACTGTGAGAAGGCTTAGAAACATTAAAAAAAAAAAAAATTGCTGGATAAGAAACAACTCTTCAATACGCCTTACCAAGCCCTCAGAGATTATTGCAAAAAATCAACAGTGCTGCTTAGAGCTGCACTGCCCAACAAGGAAATGCTTGCTACGCTATTCCTTAGGTAGCAGAGTAAGATCATTGCATCCCATTCCTCAGATCTTTGTATTGATAATAAAAACACCTTAGTCATAAAGAGGATATGAAAATAATTATAGTACATACAGATATGAAATAAGAAAAAGAACAACATGTAAATTATGGGCCAAAGGAAGATAACTGACAATGAATGAGCAGTGAAGCTGTATCCATTCTTTCAACAAATACTTAATGAGTATTTGTAGCAAAACATCTAAACTTTAAATCTGATCATGTATTTTTCCTACTGAAAGTCTTTCAGCACCTCTATATGTCTTAATGAAACCCATCTCACCACTGAAAACAAAAGCCTATTGGAATCACCTGGAGGACTTTTCCTGAACAAAATATGTCTTTCCTGAGATTCAGATTTATTCCTCTATGAAGGCATTGCCTTTCATTAAAAATGACCACTAGAGTTAATAATTAATACTATTAGAAGTGCATTCTATTTGCTCTCAGATATGTTAGGTAAGAAATATGCTGAAAACTTGTGCTATAGTAACACAATTTACATGATCTACTTCTTTATCATCGATTTTCAACATTAGAATGTAAATTAAATGCCAAATCATCTTTCAAATCTCATACTACGACTTAAATGATTTCTTCTGGCAGTTAAGTGATTCTTCTCCAGTGTACTTCCAAAAGTTAAGGTGAACAAACCCATTATTATATACTGTAACTATTTACATGTGATATCTCCTTTTAAGATAGTGGTCTCTCTCTCTCTCTGTTTAGAGACAGAGTCTTACTGTCACTGAAGCTGGAGTGCAGTGGCACAGTCATAGCTTACTGCAGCGTTGCACTCCTGGATCAAGAGAGATAGTGGGTCACTCAAACACAGGATATTATCTGTTGACTATCCACAATGTATAAAGTATCATCTTTAATACATTTATATCCTAAAGCTAGCATAATGGCTAGAATAAATTAAATTAATATTCCTCATAATTACAATTTTACCTAATCTCAAAAAGATATACTTTAATAAATTTAAAGATAAGAAATGAAGGTGCAAAGATTGAATCTAGACAAATAATGGCAGGCCTACCTCAGAGACTACAGCACCTTCTAATAGGCTTTAGATTTACATTAGAGAGTTCTTCTCAAATTAATGAATCTCCTCATTAAAAATAAAAAGCTATGGAAAATTATGTTTGTTTTAACAGGAGGTTCACAGCCCTGTTCATTTTGGACCTGTGGTTATTTTAAGTTACCTATTTGTTTTACTTTTAATATGTCCATAACCTTGTTCAATTTAGAGCAATGGTTCTTAATCTTTTAGGGATTACAGACCACTGAGAGAATATGGTATAACCTATGGCCCTTTCATTCATCCACCTATTAACATACGTACTCGCTTTTCCTATACCTTAAAAAGTGTTCATAAGCCCCTCAAACTAATCCATCAACCCCAGATTAAAAAGCCTTACTCCAAAGGGAAGTAGCTGGATTAATTTAACTTTACGGAAAATATCAACTCTGTCATCCCTATAAATGTTCAAAGTTAGTGAAATAATAATCCTACCAAGTACCTCATCATACATATGTAATATCAAACAAATATATTTCTCTAAAAATGACAAAAATTTATTTTAAAATATAACATAAAATCTAACTAATTTTCATAATTAATCCTAAAAAGTCTTACTCATAACACATAAACATATCTCTCTTTTCAGCATCTTCCTAAATTTCATTTTGTAAATTTCACTTGGGGTGGATAACTGGCATACATTACTCTATCTTGTATTTTTTTGTTTTTTAGAGACAGAGTCTCACTCTGTTGTCCAGGCTATAGTGCCTTGGCGTCAGCCTAGCTCACAGCAACCTCAAACTCCTGGGCTCAAGCAATCCTGCATCAGCCTCCCGAATAGCTGGGACTAAAGACATGTACCACCATGCCCAGCTAATTTTTTCTCTATTTTTTTAGTTGTCCGACTAATTTCTTCCTATTTTTAGTGGAGACGGGGGTCTCACTCTTGCTCAGGCTGATCTTGAACTCCTGACCTCTAGCGATCCTCTCACCTCGGTCTCCCAGAGTGCTAGGATTACAGGCGTGAGCCACTACGCTTGGCCATACACATGACTCTAAGAAAAGTTTTTTTTCCCCCTGATTTCAAATTCTTTCTCAACTGAAATTTAAAAAAATACCTAAAAACGTTTATTTTGAAATTATTTAAGAAATAACTATTATGAAAAGAAACCCACTGATTTGCAGAGGAAAAAAAGCTTTAAAACAAACGAGTTGAGGAAGGTATATTTCAAATAACAAATACACTTTTCTCAGAATTTTTGGAAATTATTACAACTATGGACCCTCAAATTGGAAAGAACCTTCAAGATAACCTGATTCAGTGGTTCCCAACAATTTCTTCTGCTATGTTATACCTAAGAACAAGGACATGTTCCCATTATTAACCATTGTTCCCCTAACACTGATTTTCAGCTGGGAGTTATGTGCCCATACCAGATCCCCAAGAATACATAGGTTTAGGGCCAAGCAATTACTAACGCTAGGAATGTCTTATCTTTTCATTTGCTCTTTTCCTAAAAACCTGTATATGGTGATAGAAAACTCATTACACTTAAATTTTTAAAAATAAATATTTATTTTAAAATAATTTTACATTTACAGAAAAGTTACAAATATGGAGAACTCCTGTGCACCCTTTACTCATACAGCCAAACTTTTGATTAACTGGGTTTTGGTAGGAATAAACAATTTTTTAAATATTACTTTAAAAACCCATTTGTTTCTGATTTTTTTGTTTAGTACTTTAAAATTTGGAGGCCAAAATGATATCAGAAATCATAATAAAGTGTTTAAACAGTGAAATTACCAACTGAAAGTACAAAAAGGCAAAAAACATGGCACTAAATAGACCTCAAAGAGGCTACTTGTTTATAGATAGCTTAAGGAAGCAGAATGTCACCTTGTTTGACTTCAGCTAGGAACATATGTGTCAGATAACTCAAATTTTTCTCCCCCTGTGCTTGTCCACAAATGACTGCACCAGCACAGATGTTGGAGTTACAAATAAATTTAGTTAGTAGGTGAATTCACAACTATAGAATGTGCAAATAATAAGGACTGACAATATACCTACATTTATTGACTGTACTAACCTTTGAAGATCCATTTGAATACATCTGTATCATGTTCTCTGCACCTTGTTTTACTTTAAGTTCTATATCCAATTGTTTTTGTAAGGCCATCAATCTATTGTTGCTAGTAGAACATCGAGGGTCACTATTTGGAGTATCTGGAGTTCTTGGGCAATCTGTAAATAAAATATTATGTTAAAATTACTTATTAGGCCGGGCGCGGTGGCTCACGCCTGTAATCCTAGCACTCTGGGAGGCCGAGGCGGGCGGATTGCTTGAGGTCAGGAGTTCGAAACCAGCCTGAGCAACAGCGAGACCCCGTCTCTACTATAAAAAAATCGAAAGAAATTAATTGGCCAAATAATATATATATAAAAAAAAAATTAGCCGGGCATGGTGGTGCATGCCTGTAGTCCCAGCTACTCGGAAGGCTGAGGCAGAAGGATCACTTGAGCCCAGGAGTTGGAGGTTGCTGTGAGCGAGGCTGACGCCACGGGACTCACTCTAGCCTGGGCAACAAAGAGAGACTCTGTCTCAAAAAAAAAAATTACTTATTAGGATTGCTTGCTGCTTAAAATTGGAAGTCAATATTTTCAAAGAATAAAGAACAGGGTTTGAGATGAGCTTGAAGTCATCTAAATGTAATATTCTTATGCTAACAGATAATATAAGAATTCAACCAATTCAAGCCATAGAACTATTTGAATTGCAGGACCACTCGCCACAGTAGATTCTACTTCCTGTACAAGTGATTGAGTCTGAAAGTGAATTAGATAACAGTCCAAGATATTTCCAACACTGTAATTTTTAAATTAAATCAAATCAATTTGACTAGTCTATTAACAATTAAATTCTCTGACATCATTGGTTAGAGAACAAAGCATATTAAAACATTATACAAATTTCATTAATGTTATTCTTTGTAAATTGAACTAAGGGTACACGAAATACAGTGTTAGCATCAATTACTAAGAACTTAACCATAAGTATACAAACCTTTACATTTTGTTTTTCACTAAGAGGATATTCAATCAAAATAGAAAATGTTCAAGAATACTGAATAACTAATATTAAAGTGATGGTAGTCGGCTATAGGGAGACCAGATATTCAAGTCCATGCCTTCTCATAAAGAATACTATGCTGCTTCTATTTTAAAAACAAAACTTCAAAAAGGACCATCTAACCATTCTGGGTAATCCATTACAGTTGAAACACTTCTAATAATCCTACCATGCAACTAAAATTCTTCATATCGAAGTTCATTATTCTGTTTTTCATCCACACTAGGTCCTTCTACTTATAAAAAAGCTAGAAGACTAGGTCTGATAGCAGAACTGGTACTAGATCTGGTTCAGGTGATAAGTAACTTGGTAATCACCAGAAAACTGCCTAAATTGCAAGTTACCTAAACTTTCAGGTTCCTTTCTCTCCTCTACAATATAAGATGGTGTGACCAAGTGATTTTAATGAATATATTTCATATTTGGTTTTATATTCTTTTAAAAACATTTATTAGTTCAAAAAGAACAAACATAATTTGTTATAAGAATTAACATAAAAATACAGATGCTAGGCTAGACAGTAATATAAAATAATAGTACTTTAACATTTATATACAACTTACTAGGTACAAGTTCTGATCCAAGTGCTTTATAAACATAAACTCATTAATCCTCATAAATAGCCTTTGAGTATCACAGCTATATTACAGATAAGAAAACTAGGGCACAGAGAGGTTAAGAAATGTGCCCAAGGTCACACAGCAAAGTGGCAAAACCTCAATGTGAATCTATTTGGTGCTGCTATGAAGTCTATCAAAGTATCCTATTAACTGCTGCGCTATGGCTCTCTCTCTGCCATTTAAAGGTCTTGTAAGCAACTATACTAGACTCTCTGTGTACTTATGTGTATATTTAAATATATAACAGTATAATTATACATGTACCCACAAATGTGTATACATGTAATTAATCCTTAAAATAGCCTTTTAAAATAAATATTATCCTCACTTTACATATCAGGAAACAGGCAAAGCTACACAGGTATTAGCTGGAATTTGATTCAGTAAAGATTTCTATTTTAACTGAATTGCCCAAATTACAAATGAGCTGTTCCAAAAGTTCATTTTTAAGTGATACAATCTTATAGAAAACTGATATAAAATGTAGGTAAGTTTTCAGATCTGCTCACGAAAGATCTTCTTAATATATCTAGTACAGTGTGGCTAAATATGCCTAGGTTTGAATCTCCATTTTGGCACTGACATTCAGTACAAACCATATAATACACAGGGTAAGTTCCTTAACAGTTCTGTGCTTCATCTTCCTCATATGTTAAATAGTGAAACTAGCATGTACCTCACAGGAGTATTGTGAGGGTTAAATAAGTTATATATAAAGAGCTTAGAGATAGGTGTGGTGCATAAATATTCAATAAATATTAACTAGTAGTAGTCGTCACTGTAATAAATGTAAGTATATCTCTGTTTAATCTGTAAATGAACCACACATTATAACAATGACTGAACAGTTTAGATCTGGAGATACTGTAATTTTCTTTCTTTCTTTTTTTCCTTTATCTTTTTATATAAATGATACAAAAATCTTTTAAGAAATCTAAATTATACAGAATTTGGTATGTATAGTTTATAGTAAGTAATTTTTAAAAAGGACTGGAATGCATTCAGAATAGAAAGCCCTCAGTTGAGAAGAGTATGGAAATATGTTGTCTGTAAAACAGTAGATTGAGGAGGAAAATGATTCTTGTCTAAACATTTAAATATTTGTCTATTGGCCAGGCACAGTGGCTCATCCCTGTAATCTCAGCACTTCAGGCGACCAAGGTGGGGGATCGCTTGAGCCCAGAAGACCAGCCTGGGCAACATAGTGAGACCCTGTCTCTAAAATATTAAATTTTAAAAAGATATATATGTATACACACACACATATATATTTGTCTATGAATGCTGTCCACTTACTATTTCCCCACAGTACAGAGAATTAGAACCAATGAGTAAACAGTAGTAAGGACAAAAAAAAATTTTTTTTTTTTTTGAGACAGAGTCTCACTTTGTCGTCCAGGCTAGAGTGAGTGCCGTGGCGTCAGCCTAGCTCACAGCAACCTCAAACTCCTGGGCTCAAGCGATCCTACTGCCTCAGCCTCCCAAGTAGCTGGGACTACAGGCATTCGCCACCATGCCCGGCTAATTTTCTATATATATTAGTTGGCCAATTAATTTCTTTCTATTTATAGTAGAGACGGGGGTCTCACTCTTGCTCAGGCTGGTCTTGAACTCCTGACCTCGAGCAATCTGCCCGCCTCGGCCTCCCAGAGTGCTAGGATTACAGGCGAGAGCCACCGCGCCCAGCCGACAAAAATTTTTTCACAAGATAAATTCCTTACATTTTGGGTTACCTAATAGAATGGTCTGCCTTAAAATGTAATAAAGTCTCTTGTTTCTGAAAGCATTTATACAAAAGCCAGATTGCAATTTGTTAGAGATATTATATAATAAATCGTGCATATTATAGTAGGTTGTACTAAAGTGAAATATCCATTGATCTAATATTCTGTGAATTTTTAAAAGTCTTAGAATACTACATAACACTGTTCTTGGGAAAAAGAAAGTCCTCAGTTACGATAAGGATTATAGGGACATAAGAAATAACACAATGGTTAAGAGTCTGTGCTCCAAGGTCAGAACGCCTGGGTTAAAATTCTGTGGCTGCTACTTATTGGTGTGGTCTTGATTATATACTTACTTAACATCTCTGCACTACAGTTTCCTCAGCCACAAATTGAGGGTTATTGTGAAGATAAAGGGTATACAGTGCTTAGGTCAATGCTTAAGACATAATAAGGGCTCAGCAAAATTACAAGTCAGGGCTTAGCTAAGTAGCTAGTATTTCCACTAATTTAATCTTCACAGAAACTCACAAAGGTTTATAATACAGTCTCATTTCACAAATAAAAAAATGTGAAACTCAGAAGTAACTTACAAAGGTCACAAAAGTATATATGACAAAGTGGAAAATTAAACTTAAATATGTTTTGTTTTCTGAAGCACCCCCTTTTTTCATTTAGAAATAGGAGAAAAACTTTGTCTTCCTTGGATTTTACGTATTTTTCCTTTTAACCTGCTTTTCTGCTTGCTACTTTTCTTCTCTCCAGTTTTCTTCCTTGTAGGATATGATAAGTTTAAAACATTAGAAAACATACAGTTGCCAGTACATTTGTTAAACTCTTTTCCTCACAGTGAAACATATTTCAAAACAGGGATAACCAGAAATGCCCATTTATGTTCTCTCCATTCAAAAGAAAGAAATTTTAAAAACTCTATAAAACAAAAACTATTTTTCCACTTTAAGAACTGCCTTTAAATTATAAAAAAAAAAAAGAGTTGAATCAACTCTTAAATACATGCTTTGTCAGTTAAAGAAACTAAATCCCATGATTAGGATTAGGATCCCAGCTAATGACAAATTTCCATATGTTGCATCTATTGCTAAAATTACCAAAAAAACAGGAGTTTTTTTTAGGAGGGATATTGTAAGAAATTGTGCATGCTTCTAACCTTCTAAACATAATCATACAATTTAAAATATGTTATACAAATTCAATAAACTTGCTTTAATGTTTACATATTAGATCAAAGAAGTTTTATGCATGTCTAAGTTACAGTAGACAAAGCACTAGAGATAAGCCCATAAAATCATGTCTTTATACACATTTAACCAATATAAATTGTTATGCTTTGAAACAGAAAGTGGAGAAGACTAATTCCTCCACTGAAATATTTTTAATAGCTTATATCTACCAAAATAAGTCCCAACTTCATAGCTAGGCAAAGGCCTTATGATATTTAGTTCCAAGTTAACTTTCTACTACAATTTTTTTGGTCAAATTCTATGTCTGGTTAAAAATTTTTTCTATTTATGAGGAATGGAATGCCATTGCTTTCCTCCATACTGTCGTTAGCCTTAGGCATTACTTTCTCCAGGAAACCTTCCCTAACCACACCCTCATCTAATCAGGTGTCCATTCTTATATGTCTTCAAAGTACACTTTCTTCCATCCATTGAAATATGTATCACACAGTATTGTAATAGTATGTTTTCATGTCTGTCTTCTCTTTGAGACAATAAGCATCTTGAGTGCTAGGACTTGTTTGTAACT